GGGTGAGTCACACGCGCACTTCCGTTCTCACATTCTCACCACACCGCAAGCGTACAGTATGTAGCTAGCCGTCACAGGAGTCTCCCGATTGGCCTTCTGGAGTATAATGGTAGGGTTGCATAGCAACAAGTTGACCAAGCTCTCCGAGTCCAAGGCCCCTGTGCACGAGGTGGCGAGATTGTGTCAGTCGCCTCGCATGCGGGTTTGGGTGTGGGTTGCGGGCGGCACTGATGACGTCGCGCTTGTAGTGTTCGTCAATGAAGCACGCACGGCCGTGCGGACCGTGCTGTGCACCAGCGGTGGGGTTGAGGACCGCGTTTGCCGCGGATACCACGCCGTTGTGCGCCCACACGTACTGCAGGTGGCTCACCGCGAAATCCTCCAACTCACGCCGCGCCTTCGGGTCCGTCTCGCAATCCTGCGACCGCACGAATCCGTTACTACATGCACGACACACGGACCCACACGACACAAGCGGGCGCATGGAGCAGCAAAGCTTTGGGCCTGGGTGAGCGGGCGGTTGAACCTGAAGCAGAACGTCGCGTACGAGTCGCACGTTCAGACCGAAAGCGCGCAGAGTCTGCTGAAACAGGCGGTGGGCTTGCTTGGCGCGCTTGAGGTGTACGGGCCTCTCGAACAGTGCGCTGGTCGGGTGGAGCGTCGCGATGAAGGCCTCCTGGCCCGGGCAATGCATCTGCAACAACACGTGGGCGTTGGTTTAGAAAAAAAAAAAGAGGAAAAATGGGTGGCTCGTACCAAGATGGAGTGGGCAACCTCGTTCTCGGCACCTTGAACGAAAGAGAGCTGGGCGGCGTCATGGGGGGGTGTGTTCCATTTTCTAAAATCTCAAGACGCAAGGAAATTGAACGAGAAGATAAAGAGCGAATGCAGAATGTTGGAAATTTGATCTTTTGGGTGCTGGGTCTGGTAGTGAGGTCGGGGTTGTGTCGTCGCGGAAGGTTGGGTGAAGCTCTCTGGTGGCAGCGGTCCATTTTGAGCTCCCCCCCTTCGCGCTGCGTACTACCTCCGCCCTTGTCCGTTCA